GCTAACTGCTGGTTCCATGATCCTTTTTCTTGACCAGCTCCCTTCCTGGCCACATTTTCTCTTCCTCTCTCAATGTCTGCCTGGATAGCTCCCTTACTTTTCCTTGGCCACACCAGGCTTCCTCAGTCTCGTAGAAGTGCTTTTTGCTATTTCTGCTCATGGTGGTCTTCTCCCAGATCTATATGTTCACTTTTCTCACCCTCTTTAAGACTTTTACTCAAATGTCATCCTGTCATGAGGCCTTCCTCAACCAATGTTTACATTCCAGACTACCTACCAAAACGCTAGGTCCTCCCTGCTTTATTTGTCTCTCTACCACTTACTAATTACTTCCAACACACCCATAATTTGTTTATTTCTATTGTTTATTGTTAGTTCTCCCCCACTAGGCACTCCATGAGCTAAAGCATTTTTCCCTTTTAGTTAAATGTCATTGTCTTTGGATCTAAACCTTTTCCTGCCCTTCACTGTGGCTCAATGGATTTTATGTAGAAATTAATGAGTATGAGCTAGACATCAGCATTAGATGGAATTACCAATGTCTAGCATCCTCAAGAAAATAATAAGAGCTGAAAAAAGAAAAATGTATGTATTTACAATGAACTGAACCTAAAATTCTTGGTTACCTATTAGAGGATTTTAATGAAATCATTAAAAAAAAAGAAAAAAGACTCAAAGAAAAAATCCTGAAATGATGCTTGCTGAAGTGAAAAGTGCCAATACAAAACAGTAAGGCAACAAGCAAATGATTGAAGGGAATTCATCTGAATGGTCCGTGTCTCACACAATCTATTTCTGTTTCCTTCCAAGTTACCGCACTGTGTTCCCATTTCAGCTTCTGGAATTAGACCTATGATTTCCTTGAACAGCTTTTAGAACTCTTGCATGGCAATTATTTGACCCCATGTTGCTTTATGGATTTCAAACAAATTCTGGTGAATTACCAGCACCTTCTCTTACATCTCCATTCTTTCAGATGAGTTCTATTTTTGCCAAGTACCATCTTAACATATTGTAGTGTGGTACATAAGAAGGATAATTTTATTTTTGTTTGCCAAAAGGAAAGGGCCAATCATCCTCTGGAAGTAGTGGCTAGAGGAAGGTATATGCAACCAATAGTCAAAAGTGTGTCCTATTTTTTTTTTCCTGTTTACAAAAATATAGTAACACCATGGAAACATAAGAAAAGTTTTCAAGAGCATAATTGTTTAGTAGATTGACTAGACATATTGAAGTGACTCGCAACTTGGCAATGAGGAAGTTATAATGGCAAAATAATAATGGATGCTGAATATTCTGATTGCTAGCATCCAATCAATATTTTCTAAGTGATTTTGTGTTTGTGTGTTACATGATTTTCTCTAATCCTATGAGACTGATGCTTATTTTTATGGAAGAGATAAAGAATCACTGAGAAGTTACATAACTCACTGGATAGCTCAGTGTTAGAGTACCGATCAAGGAATCAGAATTCAGGGTTCAGGCTCCTGGCTTTCAAACACACTTAAGAAATGAGGCTTGGGACCCAGAGGATGATGTAATGGTTATATCGCTTGGCTCCCACATACTCAACCATGGTTTGAGTCCAATATCCGGCGGCTTAAAACTCACACTGGGCACATGTGCATGTATGCTTATAATCCTGAAAGGAGAATGGAGTAGTTTTTGCAACATGACCACCCCCTGGGGTGGTAATTTCTTGCTTTCTGTCTCTGTGTCTCTCCGATAAGCACGCACTTCCTATGGCAAAAATCTCTAAAAAGATGAGGTTCAAGTGAAACATGTTGAAAATACGTATGATTTTTAAAAGCTTATTGACTCCTAGAAAATGTTGATAAATTAGCTCCCTAATGATTTAGACAATAGTCAGATTTTAAAATGACTTTTTAAATCTGAAGCATGGCAGCTATGACTAGTCATCTGCTTTCATTCATTGAGAATCTACAGTTTATGATGAAATATTTTGATTTTTATATAATCACTTTCCTTCTAGGATGTGCTTTTTTTTTTTTTTTTTTTTTTTTTTGTAGTTCCTAAGCTTTATTCAGCAAATGTGAATGAATTTGCTGTAATAAAAGAGGAAAAGGAGCTATTTAAATATCTATTATAAGTTTCTCATAAAATGGATTTTTAATATATTTTTAAAGCCAAAGAAGATGAGCCAAAGAAGAACATTCCAGAACAAAAGAAGCTGCACTTTTTGCAAGGAATAGTTTTTGGAGACTGCCTTTGTCAATCGAGGTTGCTAGTACAAATTACCAAAGGTAGATTATAGGTAACTTAAATTTATTTACTCTCTCAGTTCTGGAAGCTAATTGACTAGACATATTGAAGTGATTCAAAACTTGGCAATGAGGAAATTATAATGGCAAAATAATAATGGCAGCTAAATTTTCTGAGTGTTAGCATCCCAATCAACATTTTTTAAGTGATTTTGTGTTTGTGTGTTACCTGATTTGCTTCAATCCTATGAGGCTGATGCTGATTTTTACAGAAGAGATAAAGAATCCCTGACCTGTTAGAGATGAAGGCTATAATACAGGAAGTAAAAACCTCCTTTGTAAATATTAAAAGCAGACTAGATTATACCAAAAATTGAATCTCAGATGTAGTAGATAGAATCACTGGCCTAGAAAAACCCACCACAAAGACTGAGAAAATTGCCGAAAAAAATGATAATAATATATGAGAAATACTAGATACCATCAAATGTTCAAACATCCAGATAATTGGTATCCCAGAAAGGGAAGAGACTCGTAGGACATTGAAAATATATTCCATGAAATCCTGGAAGAAAATTTTCCAATATTTTCAGAAAACGTTCCACACCTAGAGAGGCATTCAAAGATTCAGTCCCAAGAAACACAAAGGACCCCAAATAGAATCAACCCAAGAAGATCTTCTTCAAGACACATTATAGCCAGATTGACCAAAACCACAAAGAAAAGATACTAAGATTGGCAAGAGAGAAAAGTCAAGTTACCTACAAAAGATATCCCATCAGGCTGAGAGTGGATCTCTCATCGGAAACAATGCGAGTGAGGAAAGAATGGGAAAATATATTCACAATGTTAAGGGAAAAGCAATTGCAACCAGGAATACTGTACGTGGCTAGATTACCCTTCATATGGGAAGACAATACAAGAACATTCTCAGATAAAGAAAACCTGAAAGAATTTACCAACACCAGACCAAATCTCCAAGAAGTTCTCAAGAGAGTGCTATACCAGGAAAATAAGAGTTGAACAGAAATAAGAGTTCAAAAACTAAGAAAATGGCCAACTTACTCGTGTGGGCAAGTCTGGAGTTGAATATTATATCCCAGAATTTAATTGAGAAAATCGAACCACAAGAGAAGATAGATTAAGTACATGACACTGAACTGGTAAAATAGAATTTTATGACTTTTGACTAAAACATTGCTGATTTTCTTCTAGGCTTCGTTTTCCAGTTTTAAGGATTTTTGTCCTGTTTTGAGCTACCGATAGGTTCATGTACCTACTATTTAAACAGAATTCTAACCTGTTTCCTGGCTTTAAGTTTTATGTGGGGGGAAAAAAGGAATGGAAAACAACTGTGGACACCTGAGATAGTGTGGGAGGAGGGTTGGAATTGGCAGAGGGTACGAAATAGGGGGAAGAAAAGGTAAATAAATCAAAAGAAGAGAAATGTATACTATACAGACATGTGATTAAATGTTAATAAATTTTTAAAAAATTTAAAAAAGAAACACTCGAAAAAAGAATCACTGAAAAGTTAATCATGGTTGGGTCCTGGTTAGGGCCTTTTCTGGGTAGTACATTGCTGATTTCTCATTAAGCTGCTTTTGCCTAATGGGAGGAGAGCTAGCTAGCCTTTTGGCTTCTTTTTGTAAGGGCACTAATCCCATTCATAAAGGCTTTACCTTTATCATCTAACTACCTCCCAAAAGATCCCACCACCAAATGCCATCATACTGGGATTAGGGTTTCAACATACAGTTGGGTGGTGGATTATCAAACATTCAGTGCAAAGACCCTTTTATCACAAGGTGTATCTATAGGATATAGATAGCAATTTAAATAAGAGTGTATTTTCTGTGAAATCAAACTCTTAAATTGAAATGGACACACAAAACAAAATTCTATACATACAGGGGCCAACCAAGTATTATAAATGAGACAACCTGGCCACATTGTGGACACTATAAAATGAATGTTGTATATACAGTGTGCATGACAAGATATAATTCAAGAGGGACTAAAAATTGAATGCTGTATCTCATTGACCCATAATCATAATACGTGCTTTTATTAGCCATTATCTTGAAACACTCCCACTTTCTAGAAAACTGCCATGTCTCAAGCTCATATTTATAGTATTAAATTCAAAATTTTTGTAAGGGTTCTGCATGGAATTTCATCATCATTCAGAGTTCAGAGTACCATGCAGATATTTTCTGAACTGTGCTTGCCAGTTCGCACAGCTGGAAAACAGCTGTATGACTAGTGTTTTTTAACCACATTCACTGTTTTTCTTTGTGTGTGTGTGTATGTGTGTGTGCTTGTGTTGCAGAGAAGGCCAGCAGTCGCCAGAACAGTGGCAGAAGATGTACGGTAGATGCTCTGGGAACGAAGTCTACCACATTGTTTTGGAAGAAAGTACATTTTTTGCTGAATATGAAGGAAAGAGTTTTACATATGCCTCTTTCCATGCTCACAAAAAGTATGTTTTTGCTTTGAGAGAAGAATTAAACTGTCAGTCAATCAGTCAGTCAAATCTTAACCGAAAGGCTAAGAAGCGATTCCACTCTCTAAAATATAACCTATATTGATGTTCCATGTTTCCAGTATTCTGGGCTTTTTTACATGAATGTTGACATGCTTGAGCTCTAGTCTCTGTATGTTCACTACGAGTTATGGTTATCTGGAGTAAATTATAATTTAGTGGGAATATTTACTTTAGAATGTTTTAAACTCTCATTTTTAAATATTTTAATTCTTTTTTTTTGGAGAGGTTTTTGCTTTAGGGCACATGTGCTCACCAGAAAGACAGAGAGAGAGAGATAGAAAGTGAGAAGTCACCCCCTGGGGGGATGGCCACACCACAGTCCCTTCTCCTCCATTCTCCTCCCAGGATTGGGGCATGCACGCACACACACCCGGCATGAATTTAAGCCACTGGGTCTGGAACTCGAACCACAGTCAACTACATGGGAGTCCAGCGACATAGCCATTACGCCAACTGCTGGTCCCTATATTTTAATTTACTAAGAATTCACACATATGAAAATTAAACTTTATGAATCTAAATTTTAAACTGTTAGATAAAAATTTAAATGAAGTAATAATAATACTATACATTAAAATAAAACCAACTGATGATATCACTTACTTTGGTCAGAGAAATAGGTTTAAAAATAAACAAAACTACTTACCAGTATCGTGGTAGATAAGGTAGCTGGAACCCACATGGCCAATTGGCAGTTCAAGACCAGAACCAGGGTTTGGTAGACATGCGAGGAGCATGTTTGTGCCCAAAGTCCCTACAGGAGAATTGAGGAGAAGGGATTGAAGCATGACCATTCCCTCTGGTAGGGCACTTTCTCACTTTCTCTCCCTCTCTCTCTGGCA